TTTCGAGTTGTGGAGGGTGCGGAGTACATCCTTGCATGTCGGCAGTTTGAGGACTTCCACATTCAGCAGGGCAGGTTCGGGGATTGGGGCGGGCCGGAGGGGCGTGCTCGTGGGCGAGCGTGCAGCGGCGACAGCGAGACGATTGAGTGTGTGTCTTGGTGGTCTCAATTCAGGGCGGGCGCGCCAGAGTTGCTACGCTGCGCTCTTCGGGTGATGCACATGTGGTCTTGCGCCTCTCCAGCGGAGAGGAACTGGGCAGTCCACAAGGGCATTCACACGAAGAAGCGCAACCTGTTGGCCTTCGAGAAGGTCGTTCAACTCGTTGAGATCATCGCAAATGTGCGGTTGACGGAGTATCGGCGGGCTGGATGAGGTTATGCGTTGCCATGGCAGCAGGACGAGGGCATGCTAGATTGCCAGGCATGACTCGATTTGGAGCCTGTGCGTTCGGCGACTCGCAGGGGGATGACGGAGGAGGAGATTGCCCGTCAGGTTGCACTTATTACCCGGGATTCCATCGGGGCGTCCGCACCACCCTCTGCTGATGTCGTTTTTGATAGACGTGCTTGCATTTTTCGTCCCTACCCCAGGGAGGACGACTCAGACGAGGAGCCGGTACCCGAGGCGGCAGATGACCCTGCGCTCCGCATTCCCCGCGAGATCGACGAGACGCACGAGGATCCTTACTCCAAGGAAACAAGGGCACACCCTGCACGACGGGCGGCGGACCGGGCGGAGAGGGAGATGCTGGGGGGAGAGGAGTTTTGGGGCCCATTCAGGAAGGTTGCTTCCACGGGCGGCCCAAAGGCGCAGGCGACGATCCCCACTCCGACGAGGCGGGAGTCGTCCATGCCGCCGCCTCCTGCTCCGAGTCCTGCATCACCATCGCCCGTCTCGCCACTTCAGCCGGCCACGGCAACGGCGGACAGGGAGGAGTTGGGGTCCTCTTTGCCTCAGCGTGGACTTCTCCACAGAGGCGGGGCAGTTCACCAGTTGAGGTTACGATCACCTTCCCCGGGGATATTGCAGGAGGAGGGGGCACCATCGGCAGCAGCAGTGGAGAGTTCGATGGCACCAGCGGTGGTTTCGGACGCGATGATCGCAGCCGCGGTGGAGGATATAGCGGCAGCAGCAGCAGCAGCAGTGCTGGAGGAGGATCCACCAGCGGCATGAGGAGGTGCAGCAGTGGAGGGGCAGGTGGCAGCAGCAGGAGGAGCAGGTGGAGCAGCAGCAGAAGTGGAGGTTGAGGTGGCAGCAACAGTGGAGGAGGAGGCACCGTCGACAACTGCAGTGGAGGGGGAGGTGTCAGGACCAGTGGAGGAGGAGATAGCCGCACAGGTCGAGGTGCAGCGTGGGGGCGATGACGAGCGTCTGATGCAGCAGTTCCTCACGGAGGAGCTCGATCCGGTCATAGCGGGTATGACCCCGGGTGTGGCGAGGGGGTTTGGGATTTTGGATTCGGAGATGGGGACCCACATAGACTTTGATTTGTCGATGGGCCTTCCACCTAGATGCGGCGAGGCGACATCGACGGACCAGGCTCCATCGAGGGACGAGGTGTCAGGACAGACTTTGCGCAGACCGCGAGAGAGGACGACGACTGAGTCTCCAGATGCAGCACGCAATATCATGGAGTGAGAGAAGGCTCGACTTTTGGCATTGAGTGACCCGTGTGCTCAGGCGTTCGCACGGGCCGTAGAGGAGGCCAGGCGTCGAGAGATAGAGGGGGATTGCGTGCAGGGTGGGGTGGTGGCTGGGGAGGCCGTTACGGAGGTAGTGGCAGCAGAACCGGGACCCAAGGCTATGCCGGGTGGAGCAGAGGCAGCGGACATTGCTGTGGAGGGATGGCCTCAGGCGGTGGATGAGGTTGTGAAGGCAAGACAGCGGCGAGTCGAGGGGGCTATAAACGAACGGCACGTGGTCTCGGAGACAGCGACGGGTCCAGTCGTTCCGTTCTCGATCCTGCACTTGGCTCAGGGCCGACAGTCGCAGGCGGTTCAGATAGCAGTGCATGGTGTGTCACCGCCCGTTATCACGGATTTGGGGTCCGAGCCGGTGATTGTGACCCCACGTCTTCCTAGCCACTTTGCTCCGCAGGAGGTCCGTCGTCCTTTGGATGTAGAGGAGCTGGCGACAGAGGCTGTGCGCGATGTTGCTCGATTGGATCGGTGGATCTTCGACCGGAGGCTCGAGCATCCAGCATGGCAGACGATCCATTCGGTTCCATGGGGTCCTGCGTCGCTCGTGTGGTTTGGGTCTACCTCCACCGGAGGATATACCATGGGACATGTTCCAAGGGTTTCAGGTGGCGTGACGGAGACAGCGCCACGCACAGGGGACATGCCACCCCCTCCTCCCAGAGCACCTGTAGGTGATCCATCATCGTCGCCCATGGGCAGAGGCTCTCGATCCCCACACAGGCCTGGGAAATGTAGGATTCGTAACACGACATCAGTTCAGCAGGACGTGTGTGACACGATGATATTCAAGAGGACAAACATAGATTTGGCATCGGACGTGTCACGGAGCACACTGCAGGCCTTCAGCCGGGCTTGGGACCCCGCGGCGGCAGGACGACCGCGGCGAAGGAGGTACCGGCATCAGGTTGTGAGCCTCAGCGAGGTCGCGGCAGAGGAGTGTCCACCGAGACCTTGGAGTACGCTCTGCGAGCAGCGACGCGTGCCGTGCAGGAGCAGACTCCACGCAAGCGTGGAGCGCTTCCTCGTCCACACCTCGTGCCTGCAGAGGGAGGCGCTGCACTTGGAGAGAGTTCGGGGGAGGAGGGGTTCGAGATGCCTCGTGGATCCCGCCGTGAGCAGACCGTTGCAGAGGCTAGTGCGAGGGTTGTTGTGTTGAGGAAGGGAGGAGGCCCAGTCACCATCGAGGAGGATGATCCTGATACTGATGCGGCTGTGCGGGAGGCGGACGAGGACTATGAGGGCGAGGAGGGGAGAGAGGAGGAGAGAAGGAGCGGTTCCGATGGTGACGACGACGACGACGACGACGATGATGAGCCCCCACCTCCCCCAGGACCCCCACCGACGCGTGCATCTAGACGCTCCGCTGCGCGGACTTCTTCGTCCTCATAAGGGAGAAAGAGGTCAACATCCGACACTCGAGGGGGTACGAGGAGACAGAGCGGGAAGGGGAAGAAGGGTCGTTGACCGATGAGGCCAACACTCCGCTTCTCCCCTACTCGCACTGTACGCCGTCATGTTGTGCGGTCCTAGTTTTTTTGGTCATTTGAGTCGTATCGTCTTGTCTGAGTATTGTCAGACACTCAGTGGTAGTGTGCGTGCTTTACTTGTTGGTGTGTATGATTTTGGTAGTAGTAGGGTGTTCGTAGAGTATGATTTTGGTGCCAGTAGGGTGTTCGTAGAGTGTCGTCGGTTGCAGCAGACTGAGTACAAACTGTACAGTATCTCGGCAGCTACAACACGACTTGTAGACAACTGTTTCTTGTATTTTTTTCGACATGTGGTGCCAGTGCATTAGCAGTAGGATATATTGTATCATGTTACATTTGCATGTGTGATATTAGTGTCAGCCTGTCAGGTACTTCGCATCGTTCACGACTTTTCGTGTACATTACATTTTTTGTTATGAGTGATGCACGTTGTGTACCCATTTCTTTTTTTGGTGTGTGATTTTATATCTTAATTGTTGTTCTCATTTTCAATTTCATTTCTTGTATTTTTTTCTTTTAATTTATTTATGCCTTGGAGAGTTCGGTGCTTGTTTT